TTGCTTAGGCAAATGACCGTTCGACGTCTACCGAATGTATCGTTTTGATTTGATGCTCCTCATTTAGGATGCGGACAACCGAACCGGATTATGCTTACGACTCCTTTCGGTCAGCTGCCGATGATATGAGGTAATCAACTGTTGGACAATTAAATGGGAAGTGGATAAATATGTTACGTAAACAACTTAATCAACTTTCTTTTTCTTTTGGCATTTTATTTCCTTTTTATTGAATACACAATGATGCAATTTTCAGGAAGGGAAAGCGGCAAACCAAAGGGCTGCCATGATTGCGACTCCGTAACCTTCCTTCCACCCCAATATTCTTCGTCAATTCTGTGTTTTGTTGCCACTTTGTGCTCTTATTTAGGAGCTTGTAAATTAAATTAATCGGAAAAATTCTTCGCTTCACTTGTTTTGTAAATGAGCCGCCATTTATGAACTATCTTGTCTGTGTTCAACTTCACAAGGGAATTTTAAGGTTGCACCTAACCAAATTACCCTCAGCAGAGTAATAGCAGAGATTCTGCTCACAAAGACATACAATTTTGGTAATTCTTGTGTTTGGTTCTATCTATATTCCGAATTACTGTAACTGTCTTCCTTCAGGCGGACACTTACTGTTTCAAGTCGTTTTTCAATTAGATGCGTGACATTCGATTTTTCGAATGTGTACTGTAGTCGACGTTGGCCTGAAGGCTAATATATATATATATATATATATAAACAGAAATTCAAGGTAAACTCCGGTCAGTAACGCAAAGTTTTGTACTTTGAATGGGTTAATGCTCTGATTGAAGCTTAAAGTTTACCATACAGAGAATGAAAGTGAAAGTCAGTGTTTTACTGTCTCATCAGTAATTTTTCATTTGAATTGCAGTGAGAATTATTTTTTTTCTTTTTAGCTTCCTCGGCCACTCTACTCAATATTCGGAACGCTAGAAAACACTTCGAACGACTGGAAAAGATGGAACAACAGGTCTCAGCAATCGCCAGGCGCTGATTTCTATTTCGATCTTTGAAGATGTCCATCTGTATTGTGATTCCAGATAATGTTCTCATGCATTCAATCTATATACCAACTGTTCTGATTCACTACTTCCGTACAACTTCCTTCAAGTTTTTCTCTTTTGCAGATTATTCAAATGCCTCTGACTTGTATCATTCCCCTTATTCGATTGTGCTTCCACTGTAATAACATTCATTTTAAATGGTCAGAGTGCCTATCATTATGCCGTCACTTTTTTCTCTCCTGCAACTCACTTTTCCCTAAGACTGGTTCAATTTTTAACTGTCGAGGCACATGCGATAAATTTTGGGATCGAATTAAGCAGAAGCATGGACGTGTTTTCCTCTTAGGCTCTGGAGACACTTTGTACAACAAATTGTCTTTGCCTTTGCCAGAACGTTCACCCGGTCAGTTCTGTTCGTTTTAAAAGACATCCACCGAAACGGGATCATTTTGTCACAAATCCTTTGAAAGTTGAACTCCATTGATCGGATGTGAGGGTATTCTGGTGAATTGAGATAAAATTTAGGGTTAACTGAAGACCGTTCTGATGGATGTATACAGAAAGATCGCCTCTCCATCCATGCGACGAAACATTGTCAGCAAGGGGAAAGTTCAAATCAGAAGACAGTAGAGAGATGTGCAGATTAACAGATAACTGAGCTAATCCAAGAGAGCGAGACGAAGTTACGTAAGATACACTAGGAACTATGTGTCATGTATAGCATGTGATTTAATCAGATCAGTGCTGTGCAGAAAGAAGAAAAGTAATTCACTGTTGCGGTTGTTGATACGGGGTAGGGGCGAGTAATCAATCTGCTGTCCAGGCAAGATGAAAAAATGCCTGGACAAGCTTTTGCTTGCATAGCTCAGGATTGAAAATGCGAATAGCTGTGCTTAAGAGGCGCCTTCTTATTCCTATAGCAGATATCCGGGGTATGCAGCCAATGTGTTCACAACACGCTCGAGAACCGAGCTGTAAATGCATCTCGCTGTTCCTTTTTAGGTGACCGCGGAACTATTCAGCAATATGTTTTGATAACCGCTTGGTCGTGGTCCCTTTATCATTCAATCCCATCTTAACATCTATGTTGGTCTCCACTGTTTCTTCTCGATTACATCACATGCTATGCATGTCGTATCGTTTCTAGTGTATCTTAAGTAACTTCATCCAGCTCTCTCAGATTGGCTCACAACTTTCATCAGCATCTTAATCTGCCCACCTCTACCGTTATGTGATTTTACCTTTGTCCTCTCATCCCCTTCACAACTCTGGCATTCACTACCAACCAACCTTGTCACATTCACTCGCTCTGCTTGCTCGCCTCTGTCATCGTTATTTACTGAGCTGTAATCAGCCAGTCAGATATCTGTGCAGTGATTGCCTTATGCAAGTAACCGCCTGATGCGATATATACCGAAAAGAAATTTCTTCGCGAACCCCCTTTTCAACGATTCGAAATGCCGGTCAGTTGTTGTGCCAACTGCAGTTTCCGAAAGCTTGAATTCAGTGATGCCTAAGCTCATTCACTTCAACAGTACAGTATTAACTGAATATGACCATAACTAGATCCAGTTACGCGTTACCAAAGTATGTCATCGGACCAAATTCGGGGCATGCTGATGGGCAAAGTACATTTGAAGGTTATTTGTGTAATGGGTCGCATGGGTGCACCGTTAAACGAACCCAACCGGAGCAAAATCTGTGGAGTGATTAATTTTTCCAATCAAGCCCATAGACTTATTGTAAATACCTGAAAAAAATAACACGAGCATGACGTAAAGCCAAATACATTCCATCGTATTATGTATGCGTATATTCTGGATGTATCTACTCTCCCCATCATGTGTTCCACTATCTGTAACCCCTTCTTTCTTGTTATTTTGTTTAGAGAACTATCCAGACCATAGTAGTCAGCAAGTTTTGTACACATCCATTATCTCTGAAGTTTTTTATCAGATGTAATCATACTACCGTTTCTTTATTCCGTCTACAAAAGATAACTGAACCATTTTGTCTCCTTATGTAATGGTGATTTTGTATTGTTGCGGAATTTAATCGTAGAGATGCAGCCGAACTAGCAATACTAATCTGCCATCAAGGTTTGTTTCGTGAAGCGAACGATGCTTTTTTTTAACGTATAACCGTGCACTCTTGTGCACCTGTTTTTAGTTGCTGTCTCTTAGGTTGCTCATTTGGATAAAACAATAGGTGGAAGATTTGAATTTTGAGAGCAGATAGAGCAATCATATAGACTAAGGCAGCAAGGATAATGAGTAGATGCATGAGCTCCACTGTTTGCGACAGTTGGTCATATCGCTCTGTCTCTAATCCCCGTATTGCTGATCTCGAGGTCTCCATCCAGGGAACCCAACGCGACCTGTATGACCTATTCTCTTGGTCAGAATTTTCATACCCTCATGCCAGGTCTTAGTTTGACCGCCCTTAACTTTTCGATCTATTATCGTATGTCGTGACAATCTATTTGGGGACATGCGCCACGCATGCCTTAACCAATGTCACTATGGAGGTCAGCTACTTGCCCCAGCGGGAGATCGCGATTGCTTCAAACTCTTCACTAAACTACTTGTCCGGTTTCCCCACCAGATTCATGCAATGCTGCGTAGACAGCGGTGTTCGAACATCGACAGCCTGTCTTTACATTAGTTCCGTAAGGACCAAGTCTCTGCATCGTATAGCAGTATTGACCGGAACGGCTGCGTCATACACTCGGCCCTTATTGAACCTCCGGATGTGGCAATGGTGTTACGGATGACGTAAGTTGGTTAATGCCAATCGAGCTTCTTGTATGTGTATCGACGCTTCATCGGTGATTCGTCCGCCGGGTGAGATTCAGCTGTCAAAACAGAAAGAATCTTCCCCTATCACTTCTCCAGTCAGGGTGAGGTTGGGTTGGTCCAACCCAGACCCGTAGCTACATTTTACACTTTGAGGGTGCAGAACGCATGCCGAACATAGGTACAATAGCACATACTATCAGAAAAAGCTTGCAACGTACCCGGATTTTCACTTAGCAATGCAGTGTGATCAGCATTCTCCAGATCAGATGATTCGTCACCTGGGAGCAAATCGATACCGGTGCGATTTCCAGAATCAGATCGATAACAAAGTTAAATGGAGAAGAAGAGAGGGCACTCCTCACGAAT